TTTTTTATATATACAAAAGCAGCAAACACGTCATTAAAGAATCACCAGGCTTTGGAAGATTTAAACATTCTGGGACAGTTTCCAAAACGCACATAGTTGCGTCTGCGTGTCTGTGGGTCCACTTTGAAGGCAATCTAAAACGGAAAGTGGGATGAGGTTATTTGGGTGCCATATACCAGGCCCCTTTTATCACGGGCAATTGGGTTGTTTTTCTTAAGGTTACAACCTGGCTGTCTAAGCTAAATATCACCAATAAAGCTCAGCCTTTGTGTCCTTTCTCTGGCTCAGGCAGACGCATCCGGCATTTCGAGGCAACTGGCAGACTGCAATGATCATAACCGAGGCCTTGTCTGTCCTTTCCCCCTCTCCAGGACGCATACCACTGCGAATTCTTTCATATTCCTGCTTCCAACACTGCTCCTTTTACACACATGTACTCACAATCATACAGAGTGGTGACCTTAAAATTATGGACGTGGTTAAAACTTGGTGTTTCTTTTTATTATTTTTTTAATTCCCAAAGTGTAGTCATGTGGACTTGGCTTTATAACCAAAAAGAAGAAAAAAAGTGGTCTATCCCCTTTGCGCAAAGCCATAAAACACATTATTGCACTTTTTGGAATAATACATTTTATGCCTCTGAAGCAGTGTGCGCCGAGCAATTAATAAATGCAATTAGTAATTAAGAGCGATTCACTTTTCATGATGCGAAGAGTTTTACTGAGGTAATCAAGGCAGTTTTGTGTTGTGGGAGAAATAATATAGCCCAACAACATGAGACTACCTAAACCACTCCACAGCCCGCTCTCCTCTTCTGGGGTTTTTGATTTCTTTTCTTTCTTTCTTTTTAAGTGTGAAATTTTGCTTAACTCTAGCCTGTTTTATTACTAGTAACAATTTTAGAAATTTCCAAAGGCGCAGAACTCAGTGCACAGACAGTTAGCAACCACAAATTGATATCATGCACCAAAACGGCTTTACAGCCCCCCATTTGGAGCTGCTTGTCGTCAAATTAGTCCGAGTGCGTTATTGCTTAGGCGTCTAGATTATGAATTTTACTATTTAAAAAGTTGAATGCAAGAAACCCTAACGTAATAACAATTTCAGATAGTTCAGAAAATCGCAATCAAAGGAGTCACTGTTACTCCACGCTTTGTGTGGCACATTTAAATGTAATGTCAAGGACAAAAACAACGACGTAACAGGCATCTGCCGAAGGCCTATGAAGAACGTCAAAGTGTAAAAAAAAAAAAGACAATTTAAAGTACAAAGAGCACAAATGCATTTGCGCTGTACCGGTGCCAGCTTTAAAATTTAAACAACCCGCAGCTCCTGCTCTGGTTTTGTGAATGAAATAAGAAGGCTGCAGTTGCATGGATGGGTTTTATTCATTTGACCAGCAAAATGTGCAAATATTAATCAAATCTCTGGGCTTCTTTAGCACTCACACAAAGACCTACATGTAACTGGAACACAAGTTTCCCCAAGGGTTAGTCCAGCATGCAAATTCCAATGGTTCACTCAGGTTGAATAAAGAATATGTACAAGCCTGAAGCTCTGAAACATTGTGGTCACATTCAGAGCATTCAGCTGATCAGCGTTACAAATGTAACTATTTATAAATACAAACACGACAAAATAAACCAGACATGAAAACAAAAATCATTCAAAAAAGACCAACAATCAATAAGTTAGCAGTAGGATCCTATTTTCATTCTCACAGTTGGGTGTGGGGTCTGCACAGGCGTCCTTGGCATGGATGAAGGAGGGCGCCAAAGACGCACAGTCTCATGAGAAACTGAAGCTGCTGGAAAGCTCTCGGATCCTGTTTTCCCGGCTCATTTTTTTCAGTTTCATCCTCCTGTTTTGGAACCAGATTTTGACTTGCCTGTCAGTGAGGTGGACGCTACGGCTGATCTCCAGACGGCGCTCTCTAGTCAAGTACATGTTGAAGAGAAACTCCTTCTCCAGCTCCAGAGTCTGGTGCTTGGTGTAGGGGCAACGCTTCTTTCGACCACTCTTAGCTGTGAGCCAATTAGCCGTACTTTCCATCTTTCCATCCCCTACAATGAAAATTAGCAAAATATTAGGCAACAGGTGTGACAAACGTCATATTGATTAGAAATCGTGAACGGATAACATTACATAAACAAAACATGCCAGTGCCCACACATGAAAATGTTCACTCAAATAATTCATCAACTATACGTATTTATTGCAAATGTTTGCACTTGCAACTGTTAGTAAAAGTATATATGTCCGCGTACAATGTCAGCTATTTGAGATCTAAATGATCGGCACTTGGATTTTACGCACAAATATCCGAGTGACTGTAAAGCTGCAGATCAGTATCTTACCAGAAACTGATAGTAGCAGTGTAGTGTATATATATATATA